CCTCCTCATCTTTGATGTCCAGGACCCAGCCGAGTCCCAGCGTGTCCACGCCTTTACCCAGCGCCTGGGCAGGTGGGGACAGGGACCCCCACAGGGGATGGGGGGCCCCCTGCCATCCCCTGCCCCCCACATCCCACAGGCGGGCGCTGGCAGCAGGGGGCACCTGCACTGGGGAGCACGGCGTGGGGCTGGGCAAGCGGGCGCTGCTGCTGGAGGAGCTGGGCCAGGAGGGGCTGGACACCCTGCGCCACATCAAGGCCACGCTGGACCCCCACAGCCTCATGAACCCCCGGACGGTGCTCTGGGCACAGGGAGGGGGACAATGGCGGCAGCGCCCCATGGAGCTGTGGGTGCCATGGCTCTGCCCTGCCCGGCCCAGGGCTACTCCACGGATGTCTGTGTGCCCATCTCCCGCCTGCCCGACGTGGTGGTGGAGACCAAGCGGGACCTGCAGGACTCCGGCCTCACTGGTCAGTGGGGCCACAGCCCCCTAGGGTGGGGGCAGTTGGCCAGGGGGGCCACCATCCTCCTCACCTGACCTATGGACCCACAGGCCCCATGGTGGGACACGTGGGTGATGGCAACTTCCACTGCCTCCTCATCTTTGACGTCCAGGCCCCAGCCGAGTCCCAGCGTGTCCACGCCTTTACCCAGCGCCTGGGCAGGTGGGGACAGGGACCCCCACAGGGGATGGGGGGCCCCCTGCCATCCCCTGACCCCCACATCCCACAGGCGGGCGCTGGCAGCAGGGGGCACCTGCACTGGGGAGCACGGCGTGGGGCTGGGCAAGCGGGCGCTGCTGCTGGAGGAGCTGGGCCAGGAGGGGCTGGACCCCCTGCGCCGCATCAAGGCCGCGCTGGACCCCCACAGCCTCATGAACCCCGGGAAGGTGCTCTGAGGGGGGCCCTGGCACCCAGCCGGCAGAGGGACGGCAGTCCCCTGGGGAGCCAGGGAAGGGGGGGTCCCCCCCCGCCCCGGGAGCCAGGGATGGGGTGGCCCCCCTGCCCTGCCACCACCCCCACCCTGTTCCCCCAAACACCCTCACCCCCTCAATAAACCCCTTTCCCCCCACAGCCTCCCTGAGCTGTGATGTTTTTGGGGGGACAGTACAGCCCAGCCCCTCCCCAGGGGGTCCCTGGGGCACATGCAGGCACCCCCACGGCAGGGAGACGGGGCGGGGGGGACGACACCCCCCATCAGCTGCATCCCCAGAGCTGCGGTGCCAGTGGTGCAGGGCGTGGGGGCCCTCCC